GAATTTCGCTCGGATCGGGATTTCGTTTCAACGAAGCTTGCTTCACTGTATCGTCCCCACAGACGACGCCAATTGTTGATGCATGGATTTTGACCCTCCGGTTCTTCTTCTCGCACACACCTAACTCGATGATAAGGGAACCGATACTTGCAAAATCAAATCGATCTAAACTGGTGTGACCTTAGTCACACAGGTTTCGATGCTTAAGTTAGCGAGGGAGAGTTGAGAAAATAATTAGCTAAGGATTAGTCACCTCCCCTTCATGGTTGGATCTCACTGCTACTTATAGCCGTGAAGATGATTCCAGAACCTTCTAGACAAACCCTAATTCGGCTTTGCAGTGCCCGAGGAATCGTAGATCGTAGGCGGGATATTCATGGGCTGGGCCATGGGCCTAGCAGGGGTCGGGACCGAGAAGTGGTCGAGACCGAGCAGGGTCGGGACCGAGCCCTCTCGACCCGGTTAGTTCTCCGCCAGTCGCTTTCCTCGTTCTCTGCCCCGACGTTAGGTCATTCTTTGGGCCGGCCCGTTACGTCACGGGCCGGTCTCTCCCAATCAATGATCGCATACTTCAACTCTTTGTTCCGTTTCGGGTCGTTTTTGTTCTCCATAACAGAACAAAATGAATTTACCTCAAATCGAGTGCCTTTACCTTGAAACAAAAAAAAATCAAATTTATTATAAAACTAATATTGTAGATGCCCATTCAAAGGCCACATGGCCACATGTTTGTGGATTATGTTTTCCATTTGTCATCCTCTCATTCATGCTTAGTGTCCAAGTAGTACACATCATGGTTATTTAAATTGCCTACAAATGTAGGCAATTCATGGTTTTCAAATATATAGAAAAGTTGAAGGAATTTCTTAGGCAATTTGGGTATTTCTTAATTTACATGTTATTTATTTATGATTTCAATTTTATAATTTGTCTATTTTCGTTTTTGTCTGGTTATTCGTATACTCGTGGTGTCTCGTTTCTTTCCTCAATTTTACAACAAATTTATCATATTTTTGGAACTTGTTTTTTTCCATTTTCTATAATCAACTCGTAGTTCACAGCAGGTGGTGTACGTAAAGATCCTGTTATCCAGAATAAGGAAACAAAGACAGACCAACTATGGAAGCCTACAGGTACAATACACCTAAAAGAAGGGAGAAATTAGAAAGGATTTTCCTTCCATCCCTCTCTCTTCCCCTTCGATTTTGAAACCACTCGTTTTAGACTTTTCCCAAATCTCCCGTTCCTCTTTTTCCACCTTTGATTTTTGAAATGTCGCTTCTTCGTTCCCTACCGCAAACAGATCAACGTCTCTGCCGGTTTCATCTCCCATTCCCTCCGATTCGACTCGTAAGTCTGTGATGTTGTTGCCTATCATAGTTTAAAAAGAGAGAGAGAGGGAGTGAGAGACTGAGTGTTTAGTGAATTGGAGAGTTTTGCAATTTCTAGTTGGTCTTGTTTGGATATTTCTCTAATGTAGGGTTAACGGAATTTTAATATCCTCCACATGTAGGTTTAGAGTCTTCTTCTGTTTCATTCTACTTACTTGTAATTTTGTGATTTTGTTTTAAGGATGGAGTTCCATACAATTCTATTATGTATAAGTTTGTTCTTTACTAGATCTTGGTTTTGTTAATAAAATGTAGAAAATAAGCAACATCTCACATACAAGAGCGAATTGAATGAATATGCTCTAAAAGCAATCATTCCATTACCAGTTTATCAGACATTTAATAAAGGATCTTCACACCTACCAAAGTATAGGTCAGTTGTGAATGTCAATAGGGTACGTTTCACGTCTCCAAATACGTTTCCTAATCGAAGGGGGAGCTGATCAGGATGCTGCAAGAATTGCCCTTGAGTACATATCACAAAGAACAAAGCACGATGGCTTTCTTCTTCTTCATCGGGAGGTATGACTTATATAGTTAGATTGAAACTTATTTGGGGCTGTTGGACTTGGATTCGAATTTTTCTCATTTGGCATATGTGGTTTTTTTTTTCCTACGTTGAACAAAAACCTCTTGGGAGTCCTTAATAATGTACTTACTTAGGTGATCATTTTCTTTATAATTCAATAGGATCAAGGTAATAAGTTTGTGCCCTTATAATCTTAATGATGCATTTACATATGATTTTATTGTCTGTTTACTGTTTTGTAACTTCATTTAAGCTACATTATGATATCAAAGTGCTACTAACTTTGTTAATGTACTAATTATTGATATGTTGAAAAGAAAACACATATATATTTTTTTGTTGAAGTATTTAAATTTTTTATCATTTTATTGTCCAATATACAAATTATGTTCATTTTAGTTCCTTGTGAAGGATTTTGTTCGAATATACGAATCAAATGAAGTTGGAGTTACCTGTTTACAGAACAAAGCAACACATGGCCTCAATTTCATTTTGCCAATCCACGTTGGTTGTTGGAGTAAGGAGGCAGAGCAATCGGCAGCACGTGCTGCTATTCTCCCACTTACTGGTATTTTTGCTGTGAACTAATACTTGCTGCCTTGTCAAAGTTGCTGAATTCTTTTATTGGTGATGCAGAAAATCCTGATACACATGAAACTATACATACAGTAATCACTTATAAAGTCAGACTCCATGCAACGTGGAAACAGGTTATAGATTCACCTCAATTTAGATCCATAAAACCAAGAGCATCGTCCCTCCCCAACAAAATTTGTGCCTTTTTAAGTTTAGAAATTGGGTCTAGAAAATGTGCATTGGGAACCGGTTAGTCTTCACCCACAATTCATTTGTGTTGATTAATAAATGCTATAATCAATTTGAGGTAATTTTCAACTTATCGGGTTTTTGCATTTTTTCATGAAATCACATGCAACTCGAACATGTACTTTTTAATGGTTTAGGGTATTAAATAATTGTTTATACTATGAATCACCAACTTGACAAAGTCTTATTGCAACCAGATCTCTTCAATTTGCCCATTCATGAGACTCTCAAGACTCTTAATCTACAATTACTTTCTATTTAGAGGTGAGGTTATTTATTTGCTTTACTCTCTCTTATTGATATTTGACATTAATGTGATATATGAATTTAAATCTTTGGTCATTTATCTAATATATTGAAATATCTTACAAATTTCTTATAACACAATATTGTAATATACCTCATAATTATCTTGCAGAACTAGCTAGTAAAGAGGTCTGCAGTTTAGCCGTAGGCATTGAGGGGACCTATTTGCTTGTCTATTGTATGAATCCATTTGTTTTATTGGTGAATTAAAATATTTTCCTTATTGACTTGTAAATTTGATTTGCACTCCTCATAGTGATAGATTATGTGGGTTGTATAACTTGCTTCTTCTATTGCCTAAAATAAACATAGGATGTCGATCGTGAAGTAACTTGTTGAACCGTGCTATTTTTACATATGGGAGAGCTATCTTAGGTTATGCTGTTTTTTTATTTATTTTTATTTTTTTATATAGATTGAGAAACTGAACTTTTCCCCGAGACAAATAAAAACGAAAGCTCGAATTTTAGGTTAAGCTGGTATTGTCATTCAATGCAATTATTTACTCACTTGTCATATTTAAAACCTTGTTCTCATAACTAAACATATTGAATATATGAAGTATGATAAGAAAGGTTGGAGTTATAATCAAGATTTGAAATGTTCATGTCGACAAAAATGTCAACTTTCAATTGTAGGTAATGTCGATGGATATGTCAATATCGATAGATATTTTGGGAAAAATCATTAAAATTGTGAAAATGGATTAAGATTGTTTGAATTAGTAAGTGAAACTTTAATTGTAACTTAATTAGACTATAATGGATCCGTTTTAACTAGCTTATGTAAAAATATGAGTAGCTTACTAATAGAAATGTCAACATCAATGGAAATGAAAGAATTGATGGAAATTATTTGAATTAGTAAGTTAAATTTCAATATTGTTTAATTATATCTTATTGATAATTTGTAATGAAATATAGTCCTTAGTTACATAATTGAACAAAATAGTAATTTTTATATGAAAAATATCGATCATGCAAATCTCGAAAGAAATCATGGAACATGGATATTGATTGAAAAAAATTTGTTTGAATTAATAATTGAACTATCAATTAACTTAATTAGGTTATAAATTATAAAAATTGTCTACGAAATATTATCTAAAAAAAAGTACAAAATATGATTGTTGTTAACATAAATACTAATAATATGAAATTCTATTTTATTTTAAAAGTTAAAACTATTTTCATTATCAAATTTCATAGCTTTACGAGTAGTTTGTCATTAATTTTGTAGATATCTTATAAACATTTTTACCAACATTGTTAGGGATCGAGGAACCTCACACTCACAAAACCAAATTAGAGTGGTTTAGCCAAATTGGCTTACATCCACTATGAGGCAGCTTTCTTTCTCTATTATCTTGCGGGTGAAAAACAGAGATACAAACCACAACCATTCTATCCTAGAGAGAGGTATTTATAGATGATCTCTCTTTATGCTTTCTTTTTACAAAATAGAATGTTTTGAGATTACCCAACTTACGGTTGGTTTTACTACTATAAAGCATTTTACAATTCTCCACCTTAAAACAAACTGTAAGAGAAAGACCATCTACACTAATTTGCAATCTAACCTTTTTCATATGGCTGCATGTCGGCCAATTTCAGGCAATATTCAAATTTGGCTTGATTTACTACCTTTGTTAGCATATCAGCAGCATATCAGCAGCATTATCAGAGGTATGCACTTTTACTACAATCATGCCGTTGTCAATTTGTTCTCTGACAAAATGATACTTGATGTCTATATGCTTTGTTCAGCTGTGAAATTGTTGGTTTTTGGACAAGTGAATAGTACTTTGGTTATCACAGTAGATTTTTACCTTTGACTGATCAAAACCAAAGTTCTTTAAAAGTCCCTTCAGCCATAATGCTTCTTTTACTGCTTCTGAAAAGTGCTATGAACTCTGCTTCTGTTGTTGAAAGAGCTACTACGGATTGTAATGTAGCCTTCCAACTGATCACATTTTCACCCACTAGAAATAAGTAGCCTAAAAGTGACCTTCTTTTATCTAGGTATCCAGCATAATCTGAATCTACGTATCCATAGAGCTGTAGTTTTTGTTCAGTGGCCTTTTTATAAGTAAGACCTAGGTTTTCAGTCCCTTTGAGGTATCTTAGGACATATTTTGCTGCTTCCCAATGTCTTTTCCAGGGTTCGACATGTATCTGCTTATTATACTAAATGAATAGGCCAAATCTGGTCTTGTGCATATCATTAGGTACATTAGGCTCCCTACAACATTGGAATATGGGACAGAATTCATATACTTGATATGCTCATAGTCATTTTCTACAGGGTAGTTTCCTGATGACAGTTTGAAATGTTGTGCTATAGGGATTTTTACTGCTTTAACCTCATTCATGCCAAATTTTGATAAGATTCTTCTGATATAAGGACGCTGATTTATTATAAGAAGGCATTCTCTTTTCTTCCTAGTTATCTCCATTCCTAAGATTTTTCTTGCTTCCCCTAAATCCTTCATATCAAATTCGGTTTTTAGGCTTTCTTTAACATACTTCAAATCTTCCTTTCTTTTACCAGCCAACAACATATCGTCTACATATAGTAGAAGGAAGATTGCTTCTTGTTTTGAGGTTGATTTAACATAAAAACAACTGTCGTATGCACTTCGGTTGAAACCAATTTTTGTTACAAATTCATCAAACCTGTAGTACCAACACCTTGGTGATTATTTTAATCCATAAATAGCTTTGTTTAGTAAACATACCTGTTTTTTTTGGCCCTTTTCAACGTATCCTTCAGGTTGCTTCATGAATATAGTCTGTGTCAAGTGCCCATGTAGGAGTGCAGTTTTTACATCTAGTTGTTCAAGTTCTAACTCTTCTTGAGTCACCAATGATAAAAGCATTCTTATGGATGTATGCTTAACCACAGGAGAAAAAACTTCTGTGTAATCTATGCCTTCTCTTTGTGTATATCCTTTTGCAACCAACCTTGCTTTATATCTCGGTTGTTGCACTCCGGGAATCCCTTCTTTATATTTGTATATCCATTTTGATACTATTGGTTTGTATCCTTTTGGTAATGGTACTAGAGTCCAGGTTTCATTAACCTCAAGAGATTGCATTTCCTCGTTCATGGCATCAATCCAGTTGATTGCATTTGGGCCATTTATTGCCTCTTGGAAATTTTTAGGCTCATCATCATTTAGTGTATGAGCTACATTTAAAGCTGCTGCAATGACATTCGTTTCTGCATATCTTTTAGGTGGAACTATCCTTCTTCTTTGTCTGTCCCTAGCAAGAGAATAATCTGCGAAATCAACGGGTTCTTCTATTTCTTCTTGTATTTCTGGTTCTTCTTCTGTGGCATCAGTAATTGTTTGATTTCTTTCATTTTCTAATGTACTGGATGTCTCCACCTCAATTATTGCTTTATCAAATCTGTTTGTGTCTGAATTCAACAATTCTTGATACATGAACATATCTTGCTCCTTAAAAACCACATCTCTGCAATTTATGCATTTTCTATCGGTAGGATGCCATAGTCTATATCCTTTAACTCCTTCTGTAAACCCAACGAACATGCATCTTACTGCTCTAGGTTTCGATTTTCCCTGATTTACATGGACTAATCAAATACATCCAAAGACTTTAAGATTATCTAACTTTGGAGGGTGTTTTGTCCATTTTTCTTCAGGTGTGATAAACTCATTGGCAGTGTGAGGACTTCTGTTTATGGTATAGACTGCATAGGATCCTGCTTCTGCCCAAAATTTCTCTGGAAGATTTGCCTCTGACGGTAAGCATCTTATTCTCTCTGTTATTGTCCTATTTAGCTGCTCAGCCACACCATTCTGTTGGGGAGTATGTCTAACTGTTTTATGATGGGTTATACCATTTTCTTTACAGAACCTATTAAATTCTTCCCCACAATATTCAAGGCCATTATCAGTTATGAGGTATTTTATAGATCTTGAGGTTTGATTTTCTACTTGTTTCCTCCAATCTTTGAATTTCTCTAGTGTTTGATCCTTAGTTTTTAGGAAATAAATCCATGTTTTTCTAGAGAAATCATCAGTTATGGTGAGAAAGTACCTTGACCCACTTAGAGATGGAGTTTGAGCTGGTCCCCATAAGTCTGAATGTACATAATCAAGTATCCCCTTAGTGACATGTTCACCTTTCTGGAAGCTTTGTCTTTTAGCTTTCCCAAGTACACAGTGTTCACAGAAATTAAGTTCTTCACTTATCCCCTTTGATAGTATGCCCTGTTTAGCTAGTTCTTGGAGACCTTTTGCACTAATGTGTGAAAGACGTTTGTGCCAAGGATCTCCCATAGTCAGACTGCCTTCAGTGACAAGTAGAGCCTCCCCTGATGATTCAATGTCTTTGATTACATAAAGCCCATTTTTCTTTTCTCTAACTAGTACTATTTTTGTATCTTTTTCTTACCTCAAGAGTGCCTCCCTGACCGCTGTATTCGCATCCAATTGAGTCTAGCATTCCGAGTGAGATAAGATTTCTTTTGAGATTAGGAACATGTCTTACATTTTGAAGTAACTTTAGTGAACCATCTTTCATTTTCAAGGAAACAGTACCTATACCAACAACCTTACATACATCATTATTTCCCATATAAACTGATCCA